TTTTTCGGTTTTTGGGTTGGTGAAGGTTTTTTTTTTTTTTTTTTCTGAGAGGTGTTGGTGCAATCTTGTGACTCAAAATATTTACCCGAACCTGCGGCAGCGAGCTCCTTGATTCAACAATGATTTGAAAGTGCTGAACAGTGGATTCTCTTTACAACGAATCTCTTATTGACAAATGAAGAATAATTGCTTTCTGCAAAATTCCTTTTTTGGTCCCTGCCCAATAGCCACGATGCTATGTGAATGTTTCACGAAGATTTTTTTTTTAACTCTATGATGAAGCTGCGAAATTACTTTACTTTTCCGAATGCTTTTTTTGTGAAGATATTTGGTGTAGGGTGTTATGAACTGTAAGTTTAATGCGTGAAGAGGAAAATATATCAACGTCGGCATTCATCGCATGTGCTTTGATTCTCAAATGAAGGCAGCTGTGAAATATGTTCGAATAATGAATATTACGAAACTGTTGGACAATATTGAAAAGTCAAACGAACGAAGATTGTAAAATGAATTATAATTTCATCGCAAAGGTCACGAGTGCTATGCATATGTTTTCTAATTTTTAGTGTCCGAAAATCAGCGGACGCCCTTTATTGCTTTCGCATTGAACGGCCAAACGAACACGGAAACAGATCACAACTCGGTGTCATAGAATGCCATCGGGAAGGTCATTCACTTTTATTTGGGCATTCCTGCCTGCATGGCATTCAAAAAATTAAGTCCTTCTCAAGCTAGTGTTTTTAATTCCAGACACGACCGCGAAATCATTCATTTTTCAAACCGAATGAAAACGGAATGAAGGGGCGGCAGTTTGATGGACCCAATAGTTTCCCTTAAGCATGCCCTTGAATCATCAATAGTTTGAAGGATGGCATATTACTTATATGCAGAATGTTCAGGAGAGTGAATTTTAGACTAAAAATATCTCAACCAGCTGTTATATGCTATGATTCTTGGAATAATTCGAAATATTTTGGGGCCAAGTGACTTTTTTAAAGAAATTGTTGCTGTAACTCAGACCATCTTTGTACTGCAGTCGCATTCGAAGGTTTAAAATCCAAAAGTGAATGTCACAGAATGCCATCGAGAAGCTTATTCACTTTTGGGAATTTCTGATTGGCATTCAAAAAGAAGACCATCCATCGCAAGCAAGTTTTCCTAAAACGATCGCGAAATCATTATTTTTTCATAATACTGTACTGTAAGTTACTACTGAGCGATGTAAAGCTTTTCATGTGCCGGGGAATAAGTTACGAACAGTTTCTCCTAATATCTTTAATCATCAAATTTTTGAAAGTTGCACGCACAAAATTTTGACGCATGTTAAATCTCAACATATTCCCAGAGAAACCAGAAGCTTTAAACTATATTGCATTTATAGTCGCCAAAAAATTGGTGGGCATTCATGGTAAGCTTCAATTCTTATATGAAGAGATTTGAGAAATGCCTTCGAACAAAAGAATTACACTTCGAAGAGTGTGTGAAAAAAAAATTTACAGTGAGACCCCGTAGATGTCAACCAAATTGAGGCTTGGATATTGTCGGTTTGTTGGAACATCCTCATGTTGGACTTCGTTTATCCCATAGACTTATTCAATGCGAACTTATTTAATTGGTTCGCCAGCACATCAAAAGTTAGAAATAAAGTCTCCGAAAAATGAAATAAAATGTTTTTCTCAACTTAAGGTTACAGAAGAGGATGATGCGGAAGAAACACAGCACAAAATCTAATCCGTTTGGCATTTAGGACACCAAAAAAAATTTACATGCATCGCTACACTGTGCACAGATAATTTAGAATACTGTGCTCCAAAAAGATAAGAGCACACATTAACCTGTTTCGAATAAAAATGTGAGTAAATTTATAATCAAATTAATTTTTAATTTTTGTGAACATAAATAGCACAATTTGTCCAAGATTTATCCAAATTTTAAATAAATTAAAAATTTCAATTTTCCATCAATGTTGGAAAAGCATTTGTATGTTAAGACATTGTACAGATGTTGGGTCAGATTTTTTAAAGTTTCAAGTGTCCCTAAGTTGAATCGTCCATATGTTGGGTTGTCCATCTTTTAGGGTCTCACTATATTTTTATTTTTCTGTCGATGAATATTTGTTTTCTCTTCAGCACACAAAAATCTGATTCTTTCCTGTATTTCAAGTGCATCGCTCATGGCAAAAAATTCATAATAATTCGCTGTTTCAGAATGCCACCACGAAGGTCATTCACTTGTGACCGTGCTCCTGTTCCGCATTAAAAGAAGTCCCCCTATACAGTCAGTTTTTGTTTTGTTTTATACTTGCTCTACGACCGCGAAATCATTATTTATTACTTCGAACTATTAAATAAATAAAAAGGAGGAATGACGCGAAGACTATGCTGCAGTTGCCCGGACGCGGTTGCCAAGGCTCAATGCCTCGGCCTCTCGTCGTTGATTATAATCTCCTTATGCGTTTACAATCCCCGACGACGACGACGACGACGACGGCGGCGGCGGCGAACTGCGGCTTGTTTGTTATTCAAGGAAAGGACAAGTTTCTGGTGTAGTTTCGCAAGTTTCAGTTCCGCGGGAAACTTCGTTGTACACTCAGACGAGAGGAGGAAGAACAAACTTGGGGGCTTTGTATTGAATCGCTTGCGAGGATTTCGAGTCGTGTCGTCCGCGGAAGGGCTTACAGTGCTGTGCGTCGGTTACTTCGTTTAATTTAGTCTCCCCGCGTTTTGGAATATTTTACGGGAGGATTCACGCGCCGCTACAGTATGGATTTGTGAAAAGAGGAATGTTTGAGCAAGCTATGAAAGAAAGTATTTTAAAGTTTGTTTCGGAGGAAAGGTAGAAGGATGTGAACAGAGAGAAAGGAAAGAACGATCCTGGAAAGATCCTAATTTTGGTGTTTATGTCATTTTTTAGGCTATCTTTTTGCGTTTTTTTCCCCAATTTTCGAGCTACTGGAATTTTTAATTTTACTTTTTTCAAGTAAGGTTTCTGAAAACTTTCTCCATTTTGCGATCAACGATTTTTTCCTTGAATTCGACCAGGAATGCCGCAAAAACCAATTGGAAGAAATTGAACAATTTTTTCAAGTAAACCGTAATTAAGAAAAATGACGGCCAAGAAACCTTCCAACCATTAAAAAGAACACGAAGCATCCTAGAATTATCTAAATTACTTATTGAGAAACATACAACAGACCATACAATCATCCGTGTCTGTTGCGATGGGATAATGATGTAGAAGCATGTTTACCCCGTTTAATTCCAGGGGAAATCCCGGGGTGATTTATTCATTAATTTTCAAACACATTACAAAATATACAAAGGTTGTTTCACAGAAGATGCCACACTTGTTGCCCTTTTTTATACAGTAATTGTTGTATTGACTTCTGATGAGGAAGCTTCGGATTTCCTCCTATTATTCTGAAAATTCAAGCTGGAAGTCCACTTGGGAAAAACTAAAATTGAAGGTCTTCTGTATGTTTCTCACGTAATTTAGATGATTCTAGGATGTTTCGTGTTCATTTTAATGGTTTGATGGTTTCTTGGCCGTTATGTTTCAGAATTATGGTTTATTGAAAAAATATGTTCAATTTCTTCCAATTGGTTTTTGCGGAATTCCTGGTCGAATTCAAGGGAAAAATCGTTGATCGCAAAATGGAGAAAGTTTTCAGAAACCTTATACTTGAAAAAAGTAAAATGAAAAATTCCAGTAGCTCGAAAATTGACGAAAAAACGCCAAAAGAAAGCCTAAAAAATGACATAAACACCAAAATTAGCTTTTATTTCTCACAACGACTTAGGTTTTGAAAACTATGCAAAGAGATGGTTTTTAATTTGTGTGCTTTTATATACACTGCCATGCACTCCCCAGATCGCAGTTTATGTACAAAATGGAAAAAAGTTTAAAGTTTAGTAAATTTTATCGTTGAAAATGTAAAAAATATGGTATTCAGGGCGCAGGTTATAGAAAAAAAATTGTGGTGGAAGTCCGTTTTTTTTTTTAATACCTTTTTAATGGTTGAGGACATATTTTCAAGAGACACAACGTAAACGAGCAAATGATGTCCAAAATTTACAGAAATATCAATGATTCTGCTTTTCTGGGCATACGTAAGATATGCTTTAGAACTCCAATTATCCTCACTAATGTACGTTTCTAGTCATCACGGATCAGTCAATCTGAAATATTTTGTTCAACACAACGGAAACAATTCAGAAGGGTATGATTGATAATACATTACTGTAGTGTGCATCACATTCTCGCGAATCTTGAAATGTATTAGCCCTACGGAGATTCGATCAGCCAATATAAGCAGCAGAGTGGAATAAATTGTCCGAAGTATTGTAATTCTTTTGTGTGTAGAGGCCAAATTTTTTTTTTCCTTTCCATCGAATCGGACTTCGTAGGCGGTACTATCGGCGGATTGGATATGAATAAATCCAATCAGAACCTGGATAATTATACAGAACCCTTTTTTTATTCAACGCTTCTTGGATTTAGCGCATATAGGGTTATCCGTGCCCGTGATGTTTTTTGCGATGGCGACCCGAAGAAGACCAATGCACGCGTTGTTGATCTGCGTTTCCCTGCTGGGTTTGAATCACTTTGGTACCCCCAACCCTGTTTCTTCCACTGTTATTCCTATCGAAAACGCAGCGAGAAGTCTGCTGGAGGGCGACATAATCACGCCACGTCAAGGGCTCTCAAGCCATGATCCCGCAGCAGCAATAGGAACGGGGCAAACATCGCACATGTCGGGTTATTCGTCGGGGAAACCCATGCCACCCAGTGTTGACGAGGTGTTCAAACGACCCGGCGGTGAGTGCATTTACTCTGGTGCTTTTGACTATAGGAAAGGGATTTGTGTGTGGGGGGGGGGGTAGGGGGGGGAAGGACAATTCGCTCAGTCATTAGCATACGCAAATTTCGTGGACTGAACCCGATCTGCGGGGTTCTGATGCATACGGTGCGGATGAACTGTTCTCATGCAGCTTGCGGATTGCTGAGGCGCTTGCTTGGGGTTCTCGTTGGCGCTAATGGAATATTAAAGTCGAAGGGTTTGCTTTGTCTTGGTTGTTCATTATAGGCGGAATCCCCGCGATATAGAGACGTTTGCATATTTTTCTTTTCGATTTCTGGGGAATTTTATTTTCATATAACAGGGTGGGGCCTCAAGATGCGGACGTGATTGATTCTTGGACCCTATACAGTATGTAGGAAGGAACGTCTGTCTGTTGGATCACATAATCACATTTTCCCTCTGACTCCAATATGAAAATATTCTATTGCTTCTCCTATGCGTGAAAAAGTTGAAAAAAAGTTATGTTAATTTTTTTTCAACTTCAAGATACAGAAAATAACTGTGCAGAAGAAAACCACACACAATTTGTCCTTTTGGCATGAAAATGAGCCCCAAAAGCAAAGAACAAGTGCAAGTCTTGCTGTATTGAGCACAGATGGACATTTTTCTGAAAAAGAGCATAAAGTAAACCTGTTTGGGATTCTGAAATAATAAAAAATTATAAAAAGATTTCTTTGAATTTTATGAATATAGATACATAAATTAGTTCCGAAAAATCAAAATTTTGAAGAATATGATACCAAACATTTTCATTTTTCTAGGAATTGTGGAAATGCCTGTATTTCACGGCTTTGTCCTGATGTTGGGTCAACTTTTTCAATAAGTTGCTAGTGTCCCTAAGTCGAATCTTCGGTATGTTGGGGTGCCACTGAAATGTTATTGTGTCCATTTTCATAAACACTTCATTCGAAAAGAAGCCCCTTGCAGTTACGCAGGAAAACGAATGCAAAAATGTTGAAAAAAAGAAAATGTGAGATATTTACCACGTTTTTATGAACTCACTTTCTTGTCTGTTTGTTTGTCCGGATCAAATTTTGCAACTCAAATTTTGCTCACTTCCCGACTAGCTAGCAAGATGAAACTTTCAGGATAGCTTAGAAACTAATGACAATGCAATCTTTTGTGAAAAGAATAATTATAAGAATATTTTTTAAAAAGAATAAAATAATTATAGTAGATTTCTATAATAATAAAGTTGCTTTGTGTCCGGCATATGCACCAACTTTGAGCAGGTTTTCCTTGGCCCCAAGAAAAAAACCCATGGTGAACTGAATTGGTTGCAGAGGTCCGAGTTCAATCCCATCCCCTGGAACATTTTTTTTTCTAAAAACGTTTCCTATTTTTTCTTTTGTGCCGCCTGTCTGGTGTTATTTCCTAAATGCAGTTCACAATATTCTGATTTTGAATACTACTGTATAGGGATTCAATTATTGCATGACTTGAACAATAAGTTTCACAGTGCATTGAGGAAGAAGAAAAATTGCGATCATTTCCATAAGCATTCAACCGCTAGTTTGTCACCCCGTCACTTGATATTTTAATCGTTGAGAATACTTTTTTTTTTACCGAGTATAATTCAATCACGGCTAATTTCTAGTGCTTAGTTTGGGCCACGACTGCAGAGAACTACATATTATTAACTCTCTTTCTTGTCCATTTGTTTGTCCGGATCAAATTTTGCAGCTCAAATTTTGCTCACTTCCCAACTAGCTAGCCAGCTGAAACTTTCAGGATAGCTTAGAAACTGATGACAATGCAATCTTTTGTGAAAAGAATAATTATAAGAATATTTTTAAAAAGAATAAAATAATTATAGTAGATTAAAAAATTAATCTAAAAAACCACGTTTTTCAAGTAAGACTTAAAAGCACAAAAAAATTTAGTAGATTAAAAAATTAATCTAAAAAACCACGTTTTCAAAAAGCAAAAAATAACCTTAAATGTGGTGCGCATGGAGATTGTTGGGAAGAACTGAAATACAAATGAAATAGATGTGCACCACGTTTAAGGTTATTTTTTGCTTTTTGAAAATGTGGTTTTTTAGATTAATTTTTTAATCTACTAAATTTTTTTTTTCCTCATTTTTTCCTTGAAATGCGTCTAGCCTGTCCAAATGAAATATTTTAACATCTTCTGAATCTTGACAAATATACTCAACATTTTTTCCCGGTTTTGCTTTGTGTTGAAAGTAAATTCGATAAATGTTTGAGAGTATTCGTTTCGTCCCTATTCATTTTGCCTCATTTTCAAAGGATGAATGAAGGTGAACCTTCTCTTCGAGTAAATTATTCATGTAACCTAAAATATTCAGTTTCACTGAGAATGCCGACATTGAACAACTGCTTGTAAATTGATGCAAGGGAGACGGCAACAAGGACAAGTTTTCTTTGGGAATATATTGCTGCACAAGGAATATTTGTAGAGAAAATCAACCTGTATATTGATTGATAAAAGGTTCAAGCTGCAAATAGTGTGAGTTTTGAGGAGTCAAACACTTTCCCTGTAAAGTACAGCATTCGAATAAACCCCTGAGTCTTTATGGGTAATTTCTGTCGAAGATGCAAATAATGCGAACCCTTTCGAAAAAGACACAGCTTCGTAAAATTATTTTCGTTCTCTATTCATTAGCCCGTGGACATTATCTGCTTCTCAACTAGTCTCGACGATAATTTCATACAAACTCTCGTCATAAATTCTAAATGGAGTCTTCACAAGAGCAGACTCAAGTTATCGAACAAAAATCAGTATTTCCCGAGATTCGATCCCTAGCATCTTAGTTTTTATGCGACGAAATTTGATAAATAATTGTTTGGCAGTATGACCAAGCAATGTTTGCAAAAAAACTTTTATAATTGTAATTCGAGTCTATGTGGACCAGTTCTCCGAACTGAACAACTCAAATAGGCTCGGTTTCAATATATACAGAGCCAACATTTCGACTTACGGAGGAAATGTTTTGAATTATTAATTTCAAGTTGAAGCTCATTATTTCCCTATTTTAATCGACTGATTATTTCATCATCTCGTAGCTGATTATACGAAGGAAACGCTGTCACTAGCCCGGATTGGGCTGGAATTCTTGTACAAATAATTTATAATGTATTTCTGGTTCAAAGTTGAGAAGCTATCAGTCCGAGAAAAACTCCAAGATCGTGTTACAAAAATTGTAAATCGCGTGGAATTTTTTGTCTCTGATGTGATGCGTTTTAATTTTGTTTTTTAGCGGTTGGGCAGCCAGCAAGTGTGATCGACCCGCCGACGAAACCTTGCCCGGAGGATTATTTCAGGGACTTTTTCGGAGTTTGTCGGAAATCGTTCACATTCCCAACGTCGTCCAAGAAAAAGAGTCTTCCTCTAACAGAAGAAGTTCCCGAGAATGAGAAGTCAACGTCAGTGGTTGATGGAAAATCCGAAGTGGCGACAAGTTGAAAATTTTCGGGCGACTCTTCTTTTTTATAGATTTATCTTCTATTGACAATTCCTGTAACCACGTGTCTCCGTGTTTTGTATTGATTCTTTAGTGTTTTAATTTCTGAAAGCACAGATATGGAATTTTTCTAAACGAACGCGTACAAATTTCGGAAAGTTTTTTGTGCAAAGCCGTGCCTGAATGATTACGCCAGTCTAAAGAAAGATACATACGATTTTTATTTCCGAAGCTGTGCTGGATTTTCACAGAAAGTCACGGATGAATGATGATTATCTCCATTATGTTAAAAAAAAAGTCTGAGGAAAATTTAATCTGCTAATATTTGAGGCATTCTTTTGCTGATTTCTTCCTAAAATTCTAGGATTTCAGAAAAATTCTTCGAACATGTAAAGAAATATACAATGTCTCATTTACTTGAACAGTATCATACAGTATTTCCTTCTTATAAACTCGTGTTGATCATGTATCAAGATGAGTTTGATTTGTCGACAAATTCTGGATGACTTGTCGAAGCCAGTCGTCCAAAGCCTTCATTTGTGGTTGAAAATTAAGGATTCTTCAGTGACAAAGAATGTTGATTTGGTGGTACTGTATAGTAAATTTAGTAATACGTGTACAGTACAGTATAACGTGATCTAAACTTACTTATCTTGGGGATAAATAGCATTTTTTCTCACGATGTTTTTCTTGAGCATACGCTGCTGAATCGGTATTTTTTCTGCAAAAAGAGACATTGTCTTGAAAACGGAAGAGCTACTACAGGCAGGGTTCATCCGAACATGTGTCTCTTCTTTTCATGCAATATTTTTCTTTCCCCATCTTTTTTTGGGATCTTGTCAATGATTATATAACAGAAATTATGCGTTAAAATCAGCAGAAGCAAATATCATGCGTTAAAAATTCTTGCGTGCTGCCGTGCTGGTAGCTAAAAAATAGAGGACGAAATTACAACATATGCAATATACTGTGCAGTATTATAAAATGTGCAACCGTTGAACGAATAATTTGGTAGTGACGCATTCGTATAAGCATCTTCACAAATTATTTTATAAATTAATATTGAAGGATGATTCTACTCTCTCAGAGTAATATGGTCGTCGTTTTTCTTGCGTGCGATTTTTGTTCTGTTTTCGGTACGTTACAGTATTTTATTTGATTTATTCGACAAGTTTTTGCGGGTAGAGTAAAACAAGCAAGTTGTTTTAACGAAATGTTTATCTTTTAGAATTTCATGCTCGAGATTCCAAGCCAGCATTGCCCTGCCGGTGATGGAGCGTTTGACTTCATGCTTATCAAACTTATTAAAATTTCCTGCAAAAATGTCAAAATCGTGAAAAAGAAACTTCTTCGTTTTTATCGTCTGCTCATTTCTCTCTCTCTCTCTCTCTCTCTTTCTTAGTTTGTTTGTTTGTTTCTTAGTTTGTTTATGCCTTTCTCTGTCTGCCTCTTTATTTATTTTACCCTTGAAATAAAATAAAAAAAACTCTACCTCACGACATCCGCGGTGACAAGCTAAAAATTAAAGCCACAGCCAGCCCATTGATGAAGATCGATAGCGTAACTAGGTTAAATATTCATGACGAAGCTTTCCCCTTGGGCCCGAGCACTCAAGAGGACAAACGAAGCCATGTATTTCAGCATCACGCGGCGAAAAAGATCGACGAATCTTTTGCCTTTGGTACACGTCTAGCTCTGGCAAATACTGCGGCTCATGCTGCTGGCGGAATCCCAAAGACAGGCAGGGCTATTCCCAACTCTTCCCGTATATAATGGATATATACTCAAAATCTTTCCAGCGCCGCGGGAAAATCCTCGTCATGTCCGACCAAGACGGAACACCGCACCGACACATACGTATACGTATACGTATACGCACATCGCCAGGCACGGAATAATGAAGAAATGGGCTTTCGGAAAGTTCTTTGCAGCAAGCTGAGGAATAAATAATGTGGGAAACGAGTGTCTTCGTATCTTGACTTGCGGAGCAGAGGTTCTCAAAGCTGGGCTCCGCCGCGAAGTCCATATCAGGGGGATCTAGATATTGTACTGTAGTACTGTACTTTACTCCGTTCTCAACACAGGATCTTATTACACTCACGTATACACATTCAGGATGCCGAGAGATAGAATAATAGGTTAATTTAAACTTAATTTCAAGAAGCATGTTTTGAATAAAAAATTAGAAAAGACCACTATATTCTTAATAAGAATACGCAAGGTGTAAACCATGAAAATATAAAGCTTCAATTGATTGGAGATGGAAAGATAAAACAATTCTAAGAAATACTGTACCATATAGAGTTGAGGGGCACCACTGAGAACGTACTGTACAATACAGTATATTTTTCCCCAGTAAAAATGGGTTTTATGAAAAGTATCTTCGACTCAGACAGATTGAGGAATATTCTGCGTTTGAAAGCCGAAATAATTCCAATAATGGGTCAATGTAATTCTTTTCCTTGAATAATCTCGGAATACCTTCTCTATGACGATGGGCCAATTGATTCTCAAGCAATGTTCATTCGAAGTTTAATGAATAAAGAAGCACTGCTGTTTGACTGTGGACAATTTTGCCTTTGGGCTCCTTTATCGTGGCTTTTCAGCTTCGATAATATAGAAATACTGCAACGGAATTTTTTCAGGTCTTAACTTATTGTAAGATCAAACGGAATAATCTAGATATTCTAGAATGTTTAGAAGATAATGTCATTTTTAGTCTTTTGGTGCCCTTCATCGGGTGTTGTGCACAATAATGAAATTCAAAGAACTTTTGCCGATATTGCATTAATAGCTTTTATGAAAATTGATTGCATGCATTTTAAACCCACAGGAAGTGAATTATATAGAGCTTATTCCTTCAGTTACTTTTTTGGAAAAGAATGCTCTATAAGCGTTCTGAGGATATTGAACAAAATACAAAAGTCAATCTGCTCGAATAAATATTATATTTGCATCTTCTTTTTTAATTTGGTGAATGTTTGCTGAATGTGTCATATTTCCATAGGTTCAAATCCTGATGCCATGAAAGTGTCGCATTATGTTTCAATTGCTTTCTCAAAATAGACAAAGCCCTAAAAATTAACAATCGAGAAGTGGAATGACGCCTGCCAAATTTTCCCACAATATTTTAGAAAACCATTTAATTTAAAGATGAGTGCGTATATGGTCGAATCATGGGAAGTTTGATGTAGATCTGGAAAGGGTGAACAATGAAACACAGAATTGTTCCATCATATATAATTCATTTGTAAACTTGCAAAGGATAGGGGAAAATGTGCAGGTGGTACCTTGCAATTTGATTTCCTGCAGTTTGACCATCCTGCAATTCAATGGTCCAATTTGCTGGTACATGTATAGGTCAATCCACAATTCGACCTAGGCACCATAATGTGATGCACAGAGATGGGCAAAAATGTCAAATACAACAATGTAGAAAACATTGCATTTGACATTGCTTTGCAATTCCACTGCTATGAAATTTGACCCAATACCAGCAACAGATTAGGGTCAAATTAAGAAGTACCACCTGTATGTGAATTTGTGATGGCCTTCATGTTATATTGGAGTAGATTTTACTTCAATCATCACCAATGAGATCCAGAAAGGAAAAAAATAGAAAATACAGTATAATATCCATCCCATATAAGCAGAAAAACGAACACTTGCTAGATTTGCAGAGCTCTGCATTTAAACCACGCAGGTTTCAATAATTTGAGTGCAATTTACTCATAAGAAAAAATGTATCGTATTCATTTTTGTTCGGTTCGTGTCCTGGAAGAGCTACTTGAAAAACGATGTAAGTGCGTCTTGACTTCTGAGTCGTCTGAGCCTATTCACGAGCACCTGGATTAGAAATCTCCCCCATTGAATGGATGCTTCTATATAGCTTGGTATTATTCGCTGGTATTTCTGATGATCCTCATCATCTTCTCGAAATAGAGACGAAAAACTTTCGGCTAACCCAATCAGCTGAGGCCAACTGCGTGATCTTCACGACGAAAGAGAGAGAGAGAAAATAAGCCTTGGCTCGTATGCATCAATGGATAAGACACATTCTCTCTCTCTCTCTCTCATACAGAAAAAAAAGGAAATGAGGAGCAAATGTGGGTGAATGAATGAATGAGAATTTCTTCTGGCACTTCATATGGTCGTGAAACCATGTAGATCAATTTATCTTTCGTGCAGGGGAAGCGTTAATTCCGTCCATGGTTTAAAAATCGACAAAAGAAAATCACGCGAGATAAATTTTCACCGGCGGAAAGTCTCTTTTAATTCACTGCATTGAAATTTGAAACAAATCACTCGCGGTTTACAGTAGTATCAAACATATCCTTTATTAATTAATGATCGTAAGCGTTACTCATAAATCAGTTTATACTGCTGAAGAAGAAAAAAGCGTGACGAGGCAGATTCAATGACGGAAACAAAGACATGACTCGGCTTTTCGAGATGATGTCTTTAGCGACGTTCTTCTCTTTTCTAGTCAGTTCTTCTTTACGATCGCTGGAAGAAAACGTTGAAAACTGATCATGTGCTCCTTGAGTCAGTTTTACATTCATCATTTGCTGATTGATTTAAATTTGCCGAATAATGAGTCATTAAAATCTATAATGAGGTAGATCGAAGAAACCTAGTGATCGGTATTCATTTTGCACCAGCAGGCGAAATATTTTGTGAAAAACTGCTGGGCTCCACGAACGCAGTGTTCAGAATTCATTTTAAGTAAAAACCTTCTAAATTCCGCAGTAGTTATAGATTTACGAGCTTTTCATGGCAGAGGAAGTGACTAACATCATCTGTTCTTTCAAATTATATGCCAATTTTCTTTGAATTTTGGCATCTAGTGACAAACCCTGTCGCTTCTCGCCGACATGAATTACCACACAATTTAGACAATTTTCTTTGAATTTTGGCATCTAATTTGAAAGAACAGATGATGTTAAAGCCCCCAAGAAAGTCACGCTAGTGTAGAACATAAAATAAAGCACAATATGTAGCTGAGATTGTGACCAAAAAAGAGGTCCATTTTAACACATTTTTATTAACTTGCTTTCTTGTCCGTTTGTTTGTCCGGATCAAATTTTGCAACTCAAATTTTGCTCACTTCCCGACTAGCTAGCAAGCTGAAACTTTCAGGATAGCTTAGAAACTGATGACAATGCAATCTTTTGTGAAAAGAATAATTATAAGAATATTTTTTAAAAAGAATAAAATAATTATAGTAGATTAAAAGATTAATCTAAAAAACCACGTTTTTCAAGTAAGACTAAAAAG